TCTTGGGCTAATATTTTCATTTCCGTAAAATTAGAATATCCCACATCCTAAACTATTTGTGAACATAATCTAATCTAAGTCTAACTCTACCCCTCCTAACTCCCGTTTCTGCCTCTAATATATCTCTAACTAGACCTTCATGCCTGAGAAGGACACCTGTCTGAGAAGGGTCCTACCAACCTATCTCGCCTATTTCTTACTGACTTCCATAGAGCCTTCTGTTCTTCTATTTTTTCTAATACCTCTTCATTTCTAACCGTCTGTATCCACGTTAGGCGCATCATTCGTCTGTACTACCACATTTCGAACGCTTTTAACCTTTTCTTTTCCACAGCGCCCACCGTCCTTGTTTCCCTAAAACTAGAAGCTGTTTGTGAACTGTAATCTAATATAGGTCTACCTCTACTCCTCTTAACTACTGTTTCTGCTTCTAATATGCCTCTGACTAGCCTTTTATGCCTGAGAAGGTGTCCTACCAAACTATTACCTCACGTATTTCATATTGACTTCCATAGAGTAGTGTGTTCTACTCTTTCCAACAACTCTTCATTTCTAAAATTTCTATTCAAGTTACAACTCGAAATTTAAAAAAAATATGTTTGGCCCTTCTAAGCCTTCATAGATTCTAGGTAGTTTAACTTAAAATTTTCTGTAACTAATATATGAAAAGGATAAAGAATATTATAAATTATATATTTAGATACATGTGTACGTAAGTTCAATTGAAATTATATTAAAAACAGTAGACGATTGTTATTAATGATATTTTTGCGTCTATATACAGTTGCGAAAGTTTTAGAATTAGACAAACGTAAAATAAACGACTGAAGGCTAAAGATCATTTGAATTTAGAACGTTTCTTGAACATTAAGTGGAAACTATATTTGTAACAAGCAGGTTAACGTCTTCGTATTTGAATTTTGCTCTTCTGTAAACATTTGCTATATTTAATTCGGGATTTTGCAACAATTTTATTAAGCGCATTTTTAATATATATACAAAGAAAACAACACACAATTTTCTAAGATGCATTAGGTTTTTAATTATGTACCTAAGTATACCACTCGGAACCAATTCAGGTCAAAATATTTTTTTATTCACAATTTTCCCAGCGTTTCGACCTGTGTTGGTTACAATATAGACTTGTAAACAACCTTCTTAAACATATTTTGGTGTAGCTTTAGGATTATGGAACAGAATTAATATCTTATTATTATTTTTTATTATTGGTTGAGTCGATGGATGATCGGATTTGCGTGAAACATTATTAAAGAATACAGAAAAAAAATCCCTTTTGAATGTTTCAAAATGAAAATCTACCTATTCGACAAATTCTAGAATTACTAGAATAGTAAGTATTACGTCTTTTTCAGAGGAAAAATAGAATAAATTAACATTGTAGATTTTAATGAATAAAACATTGGAAAAGTGGATTTTATTTTATATTATTTTTCGAAAAATAAATATAGTAATTTAATTGTTGACAAAAATTAAGTAAAATTTCGCGAGCACAACAAGGCTGTTAATAAAAAAATATACATTTGATCTGAATTAGTTTCGAGTGGTTTATTACCATATTCATCATCAGCAAAAAATTATAATTTTTTTTGTTTAATAAT